GCTGTCTACTATCACCCATCATCCTCCTGATGTGGTTGACTTGACTGGACTGGATGATGCAGTAAACAGTGGAGGGTTGTGAGAAGAGGGGGATACGATGGACGTATGAGTAGATCCAAGGAGATTTGGATTTCGCCAGCGATGATGACTGGTGTCTAATGCTTTGTGGCACAAACTCGAAGATGTACAGTTGACAGATGAGGCGAGGCAGAGTAGCAAAGATGGGACTTGAAGTGAATGTAGAGGAGATGGAGGTGATGGAGATACCTAACGGAAATCACCACCACCAATAACAACGAGTACCAATCACTGTGAACGGGAGAAACCTAAAGAAAGTAATCTCCTTAACCTACCCACCTACCTAGACAGCATTGTTTCTACTACAGGTGGCACAGACGAAGACGTGAAAGCCAGCCAGGATTGGAAAGACAGCAATACAGGTGTTCATTAATCTGAAATCAATGTGGAGATCTACACTCAGCATAAAGCGTGAATAACATCTCGATTTTCAACACCAATTCAGTCAAGTAATTCAGTGCTTCTATATGATGGTTGAGAGACTCAGCGTATTACGAAAAGCATTTCCAATTAACTACAGATATTCATCAACAGATGCTGTCTACGCTCACTCCTTACTGAAGCTCAGATGACCAGAATAATGAGAATAAGCAACAAGGAACTGTGGCTGTCTGGCAACTAACCAACGATGCAACAACCTATCGCTCAACAAATATGCACTGGAAGGAAGTGGAGATGGATCGGATTGGGCATGCAGTGAGAAGACTGATTGGGGACATCACTCACCAGGCCAGGCCAGGCTAGGCACTCGAGTAGAACCCAGATGGGAAACGACGAGTTGGGCGTTGGAGGTGAGGGTGACATGGAGGAGATGGTGTGCGTGGAGGGGATGATAGCTTGTGTTCAGTAGTGGAGCCAGGTTGAAAGATTGTAGAGAAGAGAGTGTAATGGAGACATGCTACTGAATTCGTGTGTTCCACCAGGAACTCATGGGACAAATAATAATAATATCGTTATAGTATTCATACTGTTTTCATCCCACCTGAATATAGCTCATAACTACATGTGTATGATTTAACCCTTAGTAATTAAAGACATACACAAACATTCATACGCCAAATAGGTGCATTTAAATGAATCATTATCTCTGGATTTTGTCTCCTTAATTGTTCTGTCCATATTGATTTCATTCCACAGCTAACACACTAGACTGATAACAGCTTCACCTGGTTCAATCCGTTTGATTTGATCTCCACTCCCCATAACACTGACTAACTATTTCAATATAACAATAATTTCACAATATGCCTTACTATGGTTATTGCATTTCACCTATTCTCATGTATTTCTAAGTGCGTAGAGCTTGGAGAAAAAGTTACTAAAGTACTTCAATTCCGGCACTGTTTAATTGTGATCGTATACAAATGTAGTTGGCAGAAACGACCATAACAAGAATTCGCTTTTGTGGTACACATCAAAGTGGTTATAGAATCTAATATTTAGCATCCTAGCTGAAGGTTACAAGATTATTTCCTTGTTTACTATTGGTAAATTGTGAAGTCAAAGTATTTTTTCCCAAAATACTCTTTTCTACTTTGTATCAGTAACCCAATGAAAATTTGTATCGTTTACATCGATACGACAAGTGTTGACTTCATGAAAAAGAAAAGACAAAGCCTTCATCAATTTTACTGGGGACTTGTCAAACAAGCACATAAGAAGTAGGTGAAATAAAAATGTACGACTGACGACTTTTTCCGTTTGATGAGACACAGGATTTGGAGAAGATGTGGTTAATCATAAGATACTGTGACTGAATAACCTAAGTGGTTAGAAACCATACAGACTGCTTTGTAGATTTCACCAGCTAGATTAGAGCGATATCAACACCAGACGACAGTTTCGTTTGTCTGGGGTCGAGCTTGTCAGCAGTGAAACCGGAAAATTAATTCTGCTCTATGAGATGATGGGCTCGCTCCAAAACAAGTGAGCAGAATGTTTGGTGTTCATATCACTCTGATTTGGCTAGTGAGTTGTACAGAACAACCTGGGTATATGCTAACTGGAAATCAAGTAGTAAGGAAAAGTGATTTTGGTGAACCGAATCATGCAACAAACAATTGTGAGGAGCGAGAGGATCGGCATACGCTGTTTGACCGAAGAAAAGACTCGAAAAGATTTGCATTTTGCCAGTGATTCATGTCTAATGTCTTACGTCGCACAAGCTCGAAGATGTACAGGCGAAAGCTAACAAGTTGACAAAAGAGGCGGGGAGAGGCGGGGCAGCGAAGACCGGACTTCCTTCAGGTGAATGTGGGGCAGACAGAGGTAATGAAGATGCTCAATCAACAACAAGCAGCAATCACCATCAACGGTAGAAATCTGAAGGAAGTGATCTCTATCACCTACCTGCCTAGGAGGCAGCATCATTTCAAATACAGGCAGCACAGGTAAAAACACAGATGATGCTGTCAAATTCAGAGTCGAAAACAAGACACGCGAGGAAGACAGGCCTTCCCGCATCAATCTGAAATCAGTGTGGGGATCTACTGCACTGCACTCAGTATGTGGAACTACATTCGGATTTCCAAAACTAAGTCAGTCAAGTAAGTCAGTGTTTCTATGTGATAGTTGAGATACTCGGTGAGTGACGAAAAGCATTTCCAACAAACTACGGATATTCATCAACAACTGTCTACGCGCGTTACTGAAGATCAGATGGCCAGGAAGAATAAGCAACAAGGAACCCTGGCCCGGCAACGAACCAACCAACAACTTGTTTTCCGGCAAATATGCAGAAGGAAGTGGAGGCGGATCGGACATAGACTGAGAAGACGGTTTGGGGACATCACGCTTCAGGCCAGGGCCTCGGGTGGGACCCAAATGGAAAACGACAAGTTGGGCATCTGAGGGCGACATGACAGAGGTCGTGTGAGGAAGAAATGAAGGCTTCTAGGCATTCATGGAGCCAGGTTGAAAAGATTGCATGAAAGAGAATGAAATGGCGACGTGCTACTGAAGTCGTATGTTCGACTAGGAATCCGAGGGATGAATCATAATAATGATAAATATAATTCATCATGTTTTCTAGTGATTCGAATCAACACCTAATACCCGTAGCAGGAATAATGACTTAGCATTTGTTCCGGATATGTGAGAAATCCGCCTTACCATACCACAAAGTAAGTGAGAAAATTAGAGCTACATCAGGTATGTCTGAAAGTTATGGGGTTATCTTGTTAGTACTGTGGATGATAAGTTGTATTCGAGATTAATCCAGTAAATAATACTGTTCCAATTTGCGCTACATCAACTAAAATGGAATTTAAGTAAATTTTTTCACCAAGTATTCTTTTGCTAATATAAGAATGGAAGTTGATCTTCGTGGGAGAATATAATTTCCAACTAGATCTATTCATTTGATATATTTCAACGTGATATTCATCATGGACTGAAATCAATTAGAAAACCAATTAAAATATGAGAGCTGTTACTTTCGAGTATAGAGCTCCTATTTCTAAACAGTGACTGAATAATTAAAGTGTTCACCGCCTGACTTCTAATTTCAATCCCTGGATGTTTTATGGATACGCACTGCTGCAAAATTTCTTACTAAGAACAAACAACTGTTCAGTACTCTCAGGTCGTCAAGGTTTCTGCATCTGACGTCAGTCTAAGACGAATACTACATTTAAACCTCATAATAACCTATTCAATATACTTCAGTAATATATAAATGCCATAAAGATGACATACCAAGTTGCAACGCCACTCTATGCATCATCATACAACAGAGTATAGAATGACATTCAACTCTCTACCTCAACTTCACCAACTGTGAAAAAGCCCTCCACTGCGTCGACCGACAAGTAATTTGGCAGTTGCTTCAACACTATGGAATACCACAAACCTTCATCAACCTCATTCAACAACCATATGAAGACACTACACGCCAATCAATTCACAATGGGAGCTCAGTGATGCCTTTGAAGTGAAGTGAAGTGAAGACAGGAAGGAGTAAGACGAGGCTGTCTACTATCACCCATCATCCTCCTGATTGTAATTTACTTGACTGGACTGGATCATGCAGCAAAACATGAGGAGCGAGAAGATGGACATACGCTGGATCGATTAGAAGACCCTACACCATTAGGATTTCGCCGACGATGAATTGTCTAATGTTTTGTGGTACAAACTCGAAGATGTAGAGGCGAAAACTAACGAGTTGACAGATGAGGCGAGGCAGGGAAGTGAAGACGGGACTGCAGGTGAATGTAAAGAAGACAGAGGTGATGAAGATACCCAACCACCACCACCACCAACATCAACAACAAGCTCCAATCACCATTAATGGGAGAAACCTAAAGAAAGTAGTCTTTTCCACTCACGTACCTTGGCAAGCAGCACCGTTACAACTACAGGCGGTGGTTGAGAGACTTGGCACGTTACGTAAAGCCTTTCCAATAAACTACAGATATTCATCAACAGCTGTTGTCTACGTTCACGCGATGCAGAAGATGGAGATCAGATGGCGATAACGAATGAGCAATGAGGAACTCTGGGAATAAACCAACCAAGAAGCTGTCAGCCAACAAATATGCAGAAGGAGGAAGTGGAGATGGGTAGGGTATAGACTGAGAAGACGGTTTGGCGACACTACGCGCCATGTCAGACCGTCGAGTGGAACCTAAAAGGGAAGCGACCAGTTATATACCCTAGGGAGACATGGGAGAGATCGTATTAGAAAAAAATGAAAGCTGATGAGAAGTGATGGAGGCAGGTTAAGAAGACTGTCAAGAAGAGAGTGAAATGGCAACGTGCTACTGAAGCTGTATGTTCGACTAGGAACCCAAAAGAAAAATAATCATAATAACACTATGTATCTGGCTGTTTACTAGCCAACAAGTTGTATAAATCTATGCTAATGTAAGTAATAATTTACAAGATAATATTTATATTTTATAGAAATATGCAAAGCTTACTTCATTTTTGCAACTATTCATAATCCACAATGGTCTGTGAATATCGTAGCCATGACTACATTTATTAATTTTGGGACACCAATAGCATTTTATATTTAAGTTTGAAGCATTATTGCATGCTTCACAGTATGATTGTTCTGAGCATACTTCTATAAGTAGAAAGAAATAATAGTGTGAGAATTAATCATCAACGTGAAATTAGTGTGAAGATCTATACTCAGCATAAAGCGTGAATAACATCTCGATTTTCAACACCAATTCAGTCAAGTAATTCAGTGCTTCTATATGATGGTTGAGAGACTCAGCGTATTACGAAAAGCATTTCCAATTAACTACAGATATTCATCAACAGATGCTGTCTACGCTCACTCCTTACTGAAGCTCAGATGACCAGAATAATGAGAATAAGCAACAAGGAACTGTGGTTGTCTGGCAACGAACCAACGATGCAACAACCTATCGCTCAACAAATATGCACTGGAAGGAAGTGGAGATGGATCGGATTGGGCATGCAGTGAGAAGACTGATTGGGGACATCACTCACCAGGCCAGGCCAGGCTAGGCACTCGAGTAGAACCCAGATGGGAAACGACGAGTTGGGCGTTGGAGGTGAGGGTGACATGGAGGAGATGGTGTGCGTGGAGGGGATGATAGCTTGTGTGCAGTAGTGGAACCAGGTTGAAAGGATTGTAGAGAAGAGAGTGTAATGGAGACATGCTGCTGAAGTCGTATGTTCCACTAGGAACCCATGGGACAAATAATAGTAGTAATAAATTAGTCTTCAAGAAGGAGAACAGAATGACTTTAAAGTATGCAACGTACTTCACTGAAAATATGTTTAAGACACTACACTTAATTTGATAAATACATAATAATAAACACCAGTACTTTTTATGAACTTACTTGGATTGGGTGTAAATTCCACCAAAGTACCAGATTTAATCAGTATCTCAGGAATTTTTATTTGACTATACGATGTCTTGATGATCTGCAATCCACCTATCAGGAAGTAAACACAGTGAATAAAAGTGAATTTAATCTCAAGTTCTTTAAAAGTTTTTTTAAAAATGATATGATATGATAACTTGTTGAAGTATTGATTGGTCACAGGAGTGCAGACCGAATCTAGTCGATCATATTTACAATGTGGCAACCAAGCTAGGAAGCTCAGCATCGTGGTCCACATTAGTAGATGTTAGTTGGTTGGAGGCAATCAGCAGGAAGCCCTGCCTCACCAACGTTTCCTGCTTTTTGTCACTCGTCAATAAGGCGTATCTGCAACCCCGACGGGACTGACATCCCGCCTGAGATTCGAACCCGCGTCACACAGTGTTGTAGTCAGCAACTTTACCACTGAGCTATTCGGGCGGTGATTGGCCTCCTGTATGACTGGTTTACATGTATTGATTGGTGACGGGAATGTAACCAATTTCATGTTGTCTAGTCCTGAGTGCAGATAGAATTCTATCAATCAAATTTACAATGTTTACGGAACTATTCATCAAATGTTACAAACCACAAAATTTCTATAAGAAACTGTGAAATATTATTAGCATAGAAGGTGTAATTATGGCAAGTTTTGACACAATTTCTCTATTCACTAGTAAAATAAATTTCTAAATATTTGCATATTATAAGAAAGGCAATTCATAATTACGATTATTATCATTTGTCCCTTGGGTTCCTAGTTGAACATACAACTTCAGTAGCACGTCACCATTTCACTCTCTTCTCGAAAGTCTTTCTAACCTGGTTCCATGACTCCCCATCTCCACTTCCTTCCAGTGCATATTTGTTGAGCGATAGGTTGTTGGTTGTTTGATTTCTTGTTGCCTATTCTTATTATTTTGGTCATCCGGTCTTCAGTAACGAGTGAGCGTAGACAGCATCTGTTGATGAATATCTGTAGTTTATTGGAAATGCTTTTCGTAATACGCTGAGTCTCTCAACCATCATATAGAAGCACTGAATTACTTGACTGAATTGGTGTTGAAAATCACGATGTTGTTCACGCTCTGTGCTGAGTGGAGTGCAATAGATCTCCACACTGATTTCATATTAGTGAAGGCCTGTCTTGCTGTCTTTCTGATCGTCATCTGTGCCTGTACCTCTGCCACCTGTAGTATGAACCATCCTGCCTATGCATCAATGAGCTTTCCACTGTGAATCATTTCGTATGTAGCATCATCATATTGAATACATCTGCTGTTGAATGAGGTTGATACAGGTTTGTGGCACTAAAACCGTAGTATTGAAGCAGCTGCCAAATTACTTGTCGGTCGACTCTGTCGAAGTTCCTAACAATGTCGATGAAGTTGAGGTACAGGTACAGATAACTGTCATTCTATGTTCTGTTCTGTGATGATGTGTAGAGTAGAGTTGCAATTTCATCCGCACATGATTTGGTTTTCCTGAAACCAGCCAGCCTATTCTGGTCGTAATTTTGAATCCAGTCCATCTTTCAGTCTCTCCAAGATGATGAGGCTTAATATTTTGTTTGGTATAGACAGAAGCATGATTCCAGGCCAGTTCTTGCCAAGACTTACGTCTCCCTTCTTTGCAAGTTTGAGAAGACGGTCCTTCTTCTAGTCAGTAGGTACCCTCCCTTCCTTCTTTCCTTCCAAGCCTTCTACAATAGGAGTGTGTTGTTGTGTTCACTGATGTCTCCATGTCTGTTTTCAGTGCTTCTGCAGAAATTCCACCCTGTCCTGTCGCTTTCCCGGCTTTCGGTAACTTCATGGCGTTCAGGAATCCACTTCTACTTTTGTCAGGGGCTTTGTGTTCACTGATAATTCTATGGTTAGGATGCTGATGGTATTTTTGAACGAGTTACAGGTGGTGGTGGGGGTGGTGGTGTTGGTTGATTCAAGAGTTTGTTTGAAGTGGTCAATCCACCGTTTCCTTTGTTCCTCCTCCTTGGTGGAAACTAAGTTTCCTTCACTATCTTTCATTGTTTCATCTGTGCTGCGTTGATCTCTTCCCCGATGGTAGCCTATTTATTTGAGAGAAGGTTGTCAGGTCTCCCCTATCTGCAGCCTGTTCTGCTTCACTTCCAAATGTGTCGTAGAAGTGTCTTTTGTCTTTGCGCCGACTCTTCGTCACTTCTTTGTCCAATGTTGTATTGGTTGTGTCCAGTTCCTCTTTTCTTCGTCCATCCCTCCACTGCACTGGTTCATCTTCTGCTTCACCACATTCCTCTCCCTACTCTGTCATCTTTCATGTATCCGTCAACATCCATTCCTTGTCTTGCTTCTTCTTCTTCTTCTTCTTCTTCTTCTTCTTCTCTCTTAACACGGTTGTGCAGGTTTCCTTCCACATCTCTTTCACAGATTTTCAGTATTCTTCCACATACTTTTCTTTGAGGATGTTGCATAATTTCTCCCACTTCTTTCCCGATGACTGACTGGCTGATGTGAAGATGTCCTCTGTAGTTTTGTCCTTCACTTTCTGTTCTGGGTGTTCAACTTGAACTGTGACCAGTCACCAACTTCTGTGAAGGCTCTCAACTTGGTTTTGAAGGTGAGTTGCTTGCACTAGATAGTGAGTGATCTAAACCTATATCTGCTCCCCTTGATTTCATCTTGTGTCCAGTTGGCTGCGTTTACACTCTCTTCACATTGAGATGAAGTTGGTCTGATTTTCAATGTGTCCATCTGGTGAAATCCATGTTGATTTGTAAATATCCTTGTGTTTTTGCATGATGACCCATGATGAGTTCTTTCCCTATGTTATCTGCTCCTAGTTTGGCATTCATGTCATCTACTAGAATTCTGATGTCTCCATCTGGAGTGTGGTCTTGCTGGTTACTGATTGCAGTTGTCTACAGAATTCCTCCCCTTCTCTTGATCTGTGTCTGCATTATGTGTAGGTGCTTAGTGTAGCATTGTATGATTGTGCTTCCTTTCCTTTGATTTGGATCTTGGTATCATGATGCTGATCCTGGAGGAGATTGCTTCCCACTGCATGAGAGCCTTCGATGCTGTTGGGGACGCCATGATAGCCACTCCAGAACTCAGTGTGCTGTTGGTTGTCGTCTGTGTGACAATACCGAAGAAGATTATTGACTCTCCAGTTGACAGTTTGGAGAGTCCACTTCCATTCTATCTGCTTTCACAGATTCCAATCACTTCTATGCCATACTTCATCATCTCTTTGGAAATCTGCTCAGTCTTAACAGCCAGCCAGCCAGCCAGCCAGGTTCAAACATTGTGCAGACATTCCATGTCCACTTTCTCACTTTTGCTTTCATCGAGAGAAGAGGAGACACATCGACCAACTGCTTTCCTGAAGGGTCTCACCAAACGGCATCATTTCGTCTCCTCGACTCCTGTAAGGAATAAGTTTATTTTTATTTTTCATATTTTCTCTGTGTTTTGAAGTTTCTTTTGCGACTGGATTGATTTTGCGTGGTACAGTTGCTAGCCGCATGCCCAACCTTCCTTCTTTATCCAGGCTAGGACCGGCTAGTAAACTAGGCGAGGTTTCATAACCACCTGCGTATGTTTAAAGACATTTTGTGATCACAATGAATCTCCTCCTCTGCTGAATTCAACTGTGAAACCAAGTTCCATGTCCTACTACTTGGACTCAATTGATTTTCAATGTTATTTGACCTTGGATTCAGCCTTTCTACTTGACCTCTTTCCACATTCTCATGCCTCATGTCCACGGATTTTTGTGTAATTACCTGTAAGACTTACTTATGTGATCAGATTGTTTGAAATGTGTTGCACAGATACATCACAGATAATTTACCTCTTGTAATTGTTTTTTCAACTTTTTGTGTAGAGAACTAGTTGTGTTCAATTTCTGAAGAGAAGTGGAGAAGTATATATTAATGATGTAAAATGGGTAGTAGTAGAATCGAAGGGTACGTTTCGTCCTAATGTGGATTTGTCAGCTGGATGTACTTCCTACTAGTAAACGATATTGTTCCTGTTATTACTCGAATTCCAGACTGATTGAGTGAAACACCAGAACATTATCCATTAGACTACCGAGTAACAATCAACAGCATTAAGAGTGTAAAACATCTCAAAACTGAAGCCTACTCGTTCGATATGTGACTGAGTTTCCGCTAACCGTTTTCAAGGATATTTTTATGTGTTCACCCGGTCAGTCTGATATGTAGTGAAGACTACGCAAGTGA